ATGAACTGGACATCAACTCTACATTCAGCCAATGACACCACAAATAAAACCAACAACACCAACACAACCACTGACGGTAAGTCTGTCTCTGCTGTAGATGTCCTCTCAGTTACTGTAAATTTACTCTCTCTACTTATAGTGTAGTAATGCAAGGACCTGGAATTCTGCACCTCAGTAACTATATTTTAGGACATGTCAAACAGAAAAATTAGATAAACATGAATTGAGCCATAGAAATAAAAGGACGACAGATATTTTGAAGCAGTGGTTCCCAACCTGGTGGTCACTGGGTATGTGTATATTTATATATAAATAAGTGTGTATATTGGTGTATATTATTTATGTCGCTGGGGCAACTGGGACGTTGCTGTAGCTTGTGAGGGTCTCTAGGCTTATATCTCAGTATTTCATTCACAAGAAAACTAAATGAAAAAAAGAAGTTTATTAAGTATGTATGATTGTGTAAATTTAAAAAAAATACTTAAGAAAAAGGTTGGGACCCTTTGTTTTACATTATACATTCATTGACGGCAATGGATGACAGAGAGGCATCCAGAATCAACGTGGAGGAACATAGGACTTGTCACTTAGTCACTCGTCCACTATTAATGCAATGTACTGGCTTACACGTTTTCTTTTTTTTTTTTTACAGCAAAGAGCAACTTCACATTGTATGAAGTTCAGCGGGACTGTCATTGCAACAAAACAAATATGCAACAAAGAGATTTGCTCTCTTTACAGTTGTTACGTGTAGAATTCAAACCTCCTGCACCAGGATGCGAACCTCAGATAATGTAAGTCAGTTGTTTTTGTTTATGCTTTGAATTAATAGCTGTATTTTTCCCATCAGAAGTGTAGTAAAACAGTGGTTAATACTAATAACAGTATTGGTGGTAATGGTAGCATTTGAAACTGCTAATGTTAGTAGTGGCAGCAGTACTATATGTGGTATCAAGAGATGTTTTTCTGTTTTTGTTCTCATGTTTTCTCTTATCTGTAATTTGACCAGCATGACCTTTCCCAACATGGAGGTGTGCATAGATAAGGAAACATACCTTACTGCCATTGCTCCACTGGTTTCGTGAGTACTGGATGTTTGGGTGTTTTTTAAATAAAAAAAAATCTTGGATGTTTTAAATTTTACAATCCAGTGTTATGCTGACATTTCTTCTGTGTTTCCATATATTAGAGACTTGAATGAGACGACTCCAGCTACTACTCCCTCTTTAGTGGGTAGTAAAGCGTCTGGGTTGATTTCTAACAACAGCTTAGAAGCTGCTCCTGAGAGTGAGTTTTTTTTTACTGTTTCCATCAGAAAGTCTGAAGAAAAGGATCTTTAGTCACTAACTTCATTATAAACCCAAATAATTCTCTTTATTGTACATAAAGAGAGTGCAGAGGATGCTTGCATCACAATTTTCTACTACTGGTTTTCAGCAATAACATTTTACTTTTTAAGGGTCGTGCTGCACAAAACTCTCTTCCAAAAAGATTCCTTTTGATAGTATAAAAGGATACAGGATACAGCGTCGTTCTGGACCATGTCTACGTGCTATTATGTAAGTACTAGCTATAATTATTTATTTCTCTAAAACGTGTGTATGACATGATATATTTGTAAATTAATAAGTGTCAAAATGAAAATGAAAAGTTCACTATAATCATAAGCATCACATCAGAGTGCTTGGAATAAGCCAGGAAACTTCAAACCTCATATGAAAAACACACATGGGGCTGCTTTCTCAAGCTTATTCTTACATCTCCATCGTAAAGAAATAAAGTTCTCAGTTAAACTAACATGGACATAGGGTAATATTTCTATTTGTGTTTTTTAACTACAAGTCTACTTTAAACTTTTTTCTACTTTATTTTAAGTAGTTTTTTTTCTTATTTTTTTTAAATACATATAGTTTACGCTTGCTTTGGCAATATAAATGTCTGTTTTCTATGGCAATAAAGCCCCTTTAAATTGAATAATTGAATAAGAACTAAAGAGTAAGATAAAGCAGGTTAATGAGGAATGACAAAGGGTAAAAACAAGAGCCAACTATGAGGAAAAGACAGGAGAGGAAGTGAAGTAGAGGGATAAAGGAAAGAAAAACTTCAATAAAAAAGGGATCTTTTCTACAATATTCATTAATTTACCACTTTCAGAAAACGTATTTTCTCTCAACAGATTTTCAACAGATCACCAACACTTCTGTGTAGATTGGAGGGCGCCATGGGTTCGACAGTATGTAACAGACTTTCACAAGAAGACGTTGACGAAAAAGTAAAATCCAAAGAACAAATGCTACACGGATTAAGGAATACTTGTCTTGAGTGAGTTTTTTTTCTTCAGTAATTCTGGCTGAAAGGAAAGAACCCCAATAAACCAAATGAGACAGCTTCAGTGTTTGAGTGGTGAACACAAAAGGCATACAAGTTAGTCCCAGTTGGAACATAAAGTGGTAAATACAAGACAAATGCTAATGCTCAGAAAACAGGCAAAGTGAGGAACTGACAAAAAAAGCCAAAGCTCTACTTGGTGAGCTACTGTAGCACCTCAATTGTACTTTTGTACTTCTGTTTTGAGTTGTGCTGTATGTTCTCACTTTTGTAAATGTATTATGTTTCTCACTCCATCTGTCTTTTGTCTTATGTGACCGAGCTAGCGCAACCTAACACAGTGAAGTGAGCGGTAAACCTTTATTTATCACTTAACTAAAATTAAAAACTATAGCCATTTGATTTAATTTCAATAAAAATATGCTCCAGGATGGTTTATGTCACTGTCATCAGTCTGCATCAGAACCAACCCAATACCCAACCCAATGTCAGTCGCATCAATACAGAACCAAAATTAGACTGTCCTTTGTAATCATTATTTTCACAGTTGGCAACAATGACAGCAAAATGTAAACAGACACAGTGAATAATCACCTGAGTAAGGGCCTATCCTGCACATTTCATTCATATTTTAATTTCACTTAACAGTTAGCCTATTTAGATGAGCTAGACAAACAAATATTTCAAAAAGATGTAGGCTATTACATGGTTTTCATATTTAAAAAAGCACATTCTTGGCCACATGCACTTTAAGTTCCACATTTTCTTAATATCCAAAATCTTGGCTAGTTGGTTTCTAAATAAATGTTTTTATTCAGTAGCAGTAATTGTGCAATGCCTCCTGTACTGAGACATTAACTTATTTACTTATTTTATTGGTTACTTACTTTACTTATATATCATTCAAGCCTCTGCTGAGTCATTTTTGTGTTGCTTGAGTAATGCATACTAATGAGTAAAGTCCAGCCAAATGTCACTGTGGACACTCTGGATAATATCAGCTAAAATATTTGGTCTTCTCCTTTGACATCTCAGATATCTAAACCATATAAGGCTGAATTTGGAAGAGCATTTATTTTATACATTCTATAGGGCGTGAGCTGTTGTTCTATAGGGCGTTGTTGCAGCAAAAGCTGAGTTAAAGCAAACTGACATTCTTTTAACTACAATGCCTAATGTTCGTATGTAATGTACAATGTAAGGGCAGTGACAACGCCTTTCATCATTTCCATTATGACACATATTTCAGCACCATGGACAGACAGCTGTCTAATTATCATTAGTCATTTGTCTGAACTTCACAGAAAATAAAGAAATGTGTGTCTAGTAGGCAACTAAGGGGTGTTCATATACAGTAACAACAGTCACATGACAGAACAGCTCGATGAGAGGTGGGCGGAGATTCATTCTCCTGGTATTGCAACACAACATAAAGCCAAGGCTTCAACTTCAGAACTTCCTGCTTTGCTGCTGAATGATCTGGTTATGGGCCTCCTGCAGGGTTAACAACTGCACAAAATCTAAATAAACCCATACGAGCTTGTTGGTGGCATGATCCAGATCCATGATGGGCCTCTTCACTGTCAGTAAACTGCTTTTGATGACTCTTCTGCTCCAACTGACTAAAGAGGGTGAGTTCACGGTTGATTTCGTCATAGACTTTATATTTTATTCTACTCATAACAATACTTTCTGACTAGTATCTTTCTTAATTAATAACACATAATTGTCTCTTGTAATATAATTGGAGTGATGCATTTATAATCGAAAATATAATATGATCATTAGGTATATTAAGTAGTTTTATTCCTTTGGAAAGAAAAATGGATATGGATGTGTGATGGTGGGGAATTGTTATTCTTAATTCTGTCTCATGTATAAATGTGCTTTTAAAGCTTTGGGTTTAGGTTAATGCAGTCAGGGCAAATGAATGTGAGTGAATGGAAAAATATGCAATGAGAATGTGGATTGATAACTCTTTTCAGCGTTTCAACAGTTGCACTGAATTCGGCCCATGTGAAATGAATTAAGATTGGAGGGCTGAAAGAACTTGATGTTCAGTTTTACATTTACATCCATGTATAATCTGGACTATTCATTTTTGAGACAGATATGAGAATTGATGACTGATACAAAGTGTATATTTTTCCATATATATGATACAATGTGTTTTTTACATATATATTTTTATAAATAATAAAAATAATAATAATTGGAAATAGTTTACTCTACACCAATTCATGATGGCTATAAAATGGTTGTGTTAGTGGGAATCTAAAAACAGGGTCACATATCAGAAAACCCTGCATTATGTTCCGTAAAGAAGACTTTGCTACCAGCTGAGGATATTTGCTGTGTTTTGCCATCATTTGAAACTATCTTGTCCTCTCCAGATGAAGAGTGGAAGACACACCCAACACCTGAAGCTGACAGTTCAGTGCGTTTCGGCGAGTTCTGCCTGCGTATATCTGAAGACTCTCACAGGACCAGCTCCCAGTCAGTTACCCAGCTACCCTCAAAGTCAGCTCACCCAACCAAACAGGCCACCCAACTGCCTCAACAGCCAACCACAGAGCCAGCCCATCAAGATAATCAGTCAACCGAACCAACCACACAGCCAACCTCTACAGTCTGGGATTCAGCCCAAACAGACATCCAGGAAATCAGTATGATACCAATGATGCACCCCCTTAACTTACAGAGTCATGGTGAGACCCTTTTTTCTGACATCATTTGAACCAGCCCTGGTGCACAGTTGCGTACTGCAGATTTTAGGCTCTTGTGAAAGTTGTGTAAATGTGTCTTTTATGTCCTTCAAGTTAATGATGGATGTCGCTGCCAAGAGAAAGAGAGGAAATTTCCAAACTCACTAATTATTAAGGTTGTGATATGGTTCCCCAGTGAAACATGTAACTCAACCGAAGTCATGTAAGTGCTGTGTGTGTGTGCATGTGAGATTAAGAGCATAAAACTTTATATGTTTTTAGCCATACTAGCATACAGTGACAGATATCTGTAACACACTAAAATCCCTGGATTTCAACATTCACACAATTAAAATAATATTTATAATGTTATTTTTGTTTACATTTATCATGTTCTACCCCACTCATTACACCTCGCATTTAAATTCAACACTGGTTTGTCAGTATGTGTGTGTCAAACAATCGTGTTGTCAGTTGTTAGCTGATGTCTCTCAGGCTCTTTATGATATAGTCAGTATGCAGTTAGCGGTCATGCCAGAGACAAAGTTGGTCTTCTCTAAAGAGATCCAGTAGGCAACAAAAAAAGCTACATTCATGGTTTCCATTGTGTTAAAAGTTGCAGTCGGTGTGTGTGCTAAGCACTGAAATAATTGTTCCCCATCCTGATAAAATCGCCCATAGTGCATGAACTTGCGGGCCAGTTAAGGGTCCCAGTTTGGAGCAAGGTAATTATAGTTTACTAAAACTAAACTAAAAACAAAAACTAGGTGTGAAATAATTTTTTTGTTAACTGAAATAAAAATAAAAATTAGACTTAATCTTTTTACAGAAAATGTCTTTAGTTAGGTTACATTTACCAACACAATGCATTGTTGCATATTTTGCACATGCATATGTTTTGAACCTGGTATATCTACATGACTGTGAGTCAGTGTATTTGTATTGTAATCCTGTTCTGACAATTATCCCCCATATTATAATAAAAACTAAAACTAACACTGAAACTTCTAAAAACTAAACTAAAACTAAAACATTTTTAAACAACAAAAATTTAAACCTGTAACCAGCAAACCCATTCCGGAAACTAACTAAAACTAGAGTTAACAAAAAGAAAAAAGAAAGCCAAATAAAAATACCCTATGTTAGCGGCATGATTCTAAGAATGCTAGGGTGACCAGATGTGACCAGACCTGAATTATGAGCAGCTGTGTCCTGTTTATCCCAAAAATGATATAGTAAAATTATTCGATATGAATGAGCTAAAATGAGAGCTGTCTGTTGGCTATCGGCTTGACTTGAGACTTGATGGCAAAAATGTTGAGGAGACCTGACTGATAAATTTACCCCTAAGTCTTGTTTTCCAGTGTGACAGCAAAGGACGGCAGCAATGTTTGTCTGCGTATACCCAGCTTCTTAGAATATTACATTGAATTGTCACGGTAAGTCTGTATTACCTGATATCGAACTTCTCATAGATTTCAGCAGTAACAGCTCAGTATAGATTTGTCTGATAAACTTCCATCTTAAATCATCGTATCTATGTAAAGTTAGATAACATTAGCCACAAGAAACTACTGATCATACAGGCACAAGTAAGGCTGTGGCATCAAGATCCCAGAGTGTATTTAATAGGACAAGAGTGCATTTTATTGTTTATGAATTAAAGTAAGTTTTTACTTCTTTAAAAAGTTACATAGTCTATCTTTAAATGGAGCGAAGCCTGCAAGCTAGTTCAGGCAGTCAACTCGAGCTGCGCTGATAACGGATGACATCGCCTTATATCCCATTTTCACTAACCAAGCGCTCTCCTTCCAAGTCTGGTGGGGCTATTTAAACTGACACACTTTTCCCAGTCTCCCTCTGCTCACTGTCAAATGCCGCTGTTTGCCCTGCCATCTGTATTTTGCGTGGCCTGCGAACTGTAAGCCCCCCACCACCCAAGCTTCCACTTAGGCTCCAGCTAGGCGGTTGAGGTTTTGCCACATCACTTCCGCCAATATCTTCTATGTGTAAACATATCTGCGGGGAGTGATCGAACGTCGGAGCCTAGACGCCAAAATCTGAAATCTTGCTGCTAACTGCTTAATAACTTTCAAAAAGTGCGTGAGTTGGCTGACTGAAATGTTAATGTGTAATTTTAGGCAGTCACACTTCATCACTCCATCAAGTCAACTCCAGTTCTTTCAGTTCAGCTAACTGACATTTCAGTTTGATTAGTATGTTACAGTTCAGGTTGAGGTTAATGTTCTATGTTGTGATCTGATATAAGCCATTTCCTCACTGATAAGTAGATATTAATCATCCTTTCCTGTAAGTTGACTTGTTGACACGAATATATTACTCATCCATCCTCCAGCCGCTGGTCTGAACCTGTAACTGAGGCAAGTAGCGATGAAGAGCCTTCAGTCATATCTCCTCCTCTAGTGGACCCAACCACAGAGTTACCCATAACCACTCAACTTTCTGTGATAGAAAACAACCAATTCGATGATCCAAATCCACCAACTATCATTTCAAGCTTTGTAGAAGCTGAAGAAATGGAAGACAAGCGTGTTAATGGAAAATCATCAATCGATCATCACGGAAAAGTGTCGGCTCAGTGTGAGTTGTGCCATTAAAGAGTGACAGCTTTAATTTAACATGATGAGAAATATCTTGCAGAATTGAGTAGATTAAAGGTTTGTCTCATGTGGCTTCACAGGTGAATCCTGCAACTTCATAACAAACTTGGACAGTGTTGACCCAAAGGATGTTCAGTCCCTGAATGTGAAGATGCAGTCATTTCCCTGTCCTGTCCATATTCAGTAAGGTTCCCACGACTATGTTTCACAAATTAGAGTTTTATGAAGGTGTTGTACTAATATGGATGTGTTTGGACTGAGACTTAAATTTTAAATTTTAGACACAAGAATTAGTAGAATTCAGTATTAATCATAGATACATAGATGAAGAGATTATCATTCTGTCCTTATTTTCTTATGTTTAACCAAAATGTTTTATGATGTTAAAGAAGAATGGTGGATGACCGTGGTTGACTGATATCTATAACCTGAAAACTCACATTCAAATTCACATTGTCCTTAATTTGTGTGTATAACTGTTGTATCATCATGTAAAGAGAATTAAATAATGTCTTTCATTTCTCTCTGTTGGCTCACAGTCTCATCCTGAAAAATTACTCCGATTTCTGTTTGGACTCAAACCAGTTCAATACATTGCTGAAGAAACTGGAAAATCCCCCTCCCCATGAAGATCATATTCACCAGACTCTGACAAACAGTTTGTAAAAATGTCCCTTTTACATTTGTTTGGATGTTATTTCTACAATGAGAGACTTAAAGACTCGTCCAACAGACTATACAAAAGTATGCCTGAAGCGTTTCTGTATCAATCAATTTCAGGGATTAGCTACACCCACTGCAGGTTTACATACCACCCTCGTCTAGTTTAAGCCACCCCCGATTATGGGCATAGATAATTTAGTTGTTTAAACAGATACAGATAATCGTTTAAAAAACTGAACTTGTAATGAGTAAATATTTGATTTTCTTTTATTCAACTAATTGATTAATCAACGAGTCGTACCAGCTCTAAACCGCATATATACTGTACATCTACATTGTGAAAGTTGTCCTCTATACATATCTATATATATATCATATATCTCTACAGATGGATGTCGCTGCCAAGAGAAAGAGGAGAAACCACCAACTGAAACCTTCATAATCACAAGGATTTGGCCCCCCAGTGAAACATGCAACTCAACTGAATTCATGTAAGTGCTGTGTGTATGTGTGTGTCCGATATGTAGTGTTACGGGCCCAAATTTATTTTTTGAAACTCATATTACAAACTAAGTTGACCATAACTCTTGTTTTCCAGCGAGACAGAGACGGGTGGGAATGAGGTGTGTGTGACTGCAGCTAGCTTCTTAGCACACCTTGACTTTGCCTCACCGTAAGTTAATAATATCTGTTACACACATGCACAAATATATAATATAATATAATATATAATTATTTTTGCATAATATCAAATGTGAATTTGAGTTCAAAATATTAAACAAAAAACACCTAACTCCACAGTCATTTACACAATAACTACGAAAAGTCGGAGTACTAAAGTAGCTCATTATAACTGTTCATTTCAACCCAATCAACTAATTCAGTTGGATTTTCTCCAAAAAAGATATCTGTAACACACCTTATAAAACCTTATACTTAGCCTGAAACATAATATATCAAATTATAAAACAGATTTATCACTAAATGTGAAGTAAATGTGCTTTGTTAATGCCCACTACTGACATGTGGACAAATAAAACCAACTGCATGCATGGAGCCCCCGTAGCGCAGAGATCATAATATCATTCTGCCTTGTGTTACCTTACAAAAAACTTGTTCACTTTGAACCGGCTCGTTCGCGACTGACACATCACTACTCAGTACTGTGAACATTGTATTTTGGTGGAGGCAGAAATCTCAAAACCTGATCAGATAAAACCAGAAGTATCGGCATGGTTGTGAACCACGTAAAGTAAGAGAGAATCGAGCTGACCCTTTTAAAAAATATAAAATGAAGAAAGGCAGCTATACTGCTTGTATATAATCACACCTTTTCTGTTTCTGTGACTCAGATGTTAACCATTTTTTCTTCCTGATAACCTGGTGGATGTGTTCTGAATGTAACATCAGTAATCATTTCCTGTATTACCTTGTCGATAAGACTGTATTACTCAACCTACCCCCAGCCTCCTGACTAAGACTATGACTGAATCCAAAACAGTGGATGTCTTTGACCTAGTATCTGAAGTTGAACTTGGTAAGTTTTTGCCTGGATACACCAACATCACATATTAAAAAAATACATTAATACCTAAAGTATGCTACTTATGATTTCTTATGTCAGATTAGTCCCTGTGTCACACACACTAGGACCTCTGTCAGTTGCACACTTTCAATCTGTCCATTATTCAGCATAAAAACTGTATAGTCCACACTGTGCCATCAGTTGAGTACTGCATGTGTGTGCCAGAGGGTGGGGGTGAAGCATTCCTCATTAAAAGCAAATAAAAACTGTATACACATATACTTGGAAACATCATAGATTATTCACTGATTTTTTGAGGGAGTCTTGGCGATACAATTACTGGAATTCTTCTGGAAAAGGTCAAATAACTTCAGTTGAGATAAACTACTGGGATCAAAGTGAACTGACACCTTAATGAAGTGACTGTATATATAATTTACTAATTCTAAAATGTCTATTTTGTGTTAAGTTACTGTTTAAATGTTTGTCTTGTATGTAGTCATGCGGCCCTGCGTAGTCTGTGCCAAGTTCCTGGGCAACATTGACCCAAAGGATGTGCTGTCCCTGGAGATGGATCAACCATCATTTCACTGTCCTATCCTCACTTTGTAAGTCAGCAGCTACTGTGACCACGGAGTGTAAACCTGCAATGTTAGGGACTGATTGACATCTTTTTGAAAGCTTTTCAAAACTTCAAATCAATCCTGATCAAGAGGTGATATGGTGGGCATTTGCAGATAAGCACCCCATACTGTATTTATAATATTTGTCTTTTGGTTCACAGTATCACCCTGAAAAATGGAATGGAATTTTGTGTGGACTTGTCCGATCCGGAGATCAGTACTATGCTGGAGAAGCTGGAAATGCAAGACTAATGAGGAAAAAGCCTTAAATGTGATAATTAATGTTCCTTTGATCCAGTTGGTGAAGGGGGCGGGGGGGGGATTTACTTCTGGAGAACCAGGGTGTGGTGTGGGGGTGATGCTATCCAATTTATTTGTGAGGTTATTGTTTTATGTAGGTGGAAGGAGATTGATTTATTTTCTTTCAAATATTTAGTATTTTGCTTAAAATCAATGTTAATATAAACAATTAAATATAAACATTCGATAAATAAATCTGATATTTAATACATTAAATGTTCCATCGAATTAAACTTCCAGTGTGTAACATGTAGGAGGNNNAATGGAATATAATATTCATAGACAAGTTTCATTTTCAAGTAGCTTCATTCTGATCCAGAAAGCACAAGATCAATATTACAGAATCTAGATTTGCAGTCTTTTGCAGCTGTTAAAGTAATAAAACATTTAATTGACAAATCTGTGAAAGTGTTGGGAAGTGTAAATAAGTTTAGTAGTTTAGTTTCCATTAGTTTTAGTTTTTTAGAAGTATTTCTCAGGGCCAAGAATAATAGGTGTTACCGTACAAACACAACATTTTATGAAGGCAATTGACTCACAGTCATGTAGACATCCTAGTCTAAAAGTAATTTCTCCCCGGGATTATTAAAGTATTTCTGATTCTGATTCTAGTCTCAATAAACATATGCACCAATGCCTCCTCATGCTTGTTGTATTGCCAAATTTGACCAAAATAAAAGACTAAAACAAAAGTATATTTTATATATGTTATTTTATTTTAGGTAATTTTTTTAAGCATACAATATCATTTCATTTTTCATCAAAGTCTAGTTTTAATTAATTTTACGACCATGGCCTCTACATCCACCCTTCCAGTGGGATCATGATTTTAGCATCAAAACTATCCTAATCTCCACCTTTTAAAATGCCCCAAATCAACATTTGACCTGGATTCTGGGTAGGACTGGATTACTTAATCCATATCCCAGTTTTGTAAGATCAGGATCACATATCACCCACTTTTGAGATTTAAGCCTACCCAGAGACTTCTTATCTCGATTAAATATTGAAATACTGGGCCCTGAATGCTTTTGCATGTATGTTTCTGTCCCTTTAAGTGCCAGCATCAGAGCATGTACTTACAGAGTTCACATAGAGTAGCGGCTGTAGAACTGGTCTCAGGTCCCATTTTCCTTCCCATCCTCACTGTTTAGGAGAAGATTGAAACAATGAGCCAAGCTTGATGTATATCAGCTCTCAAAAGAAACTGACAAATGATTTGGGTTCTACAGAGAACCAGAAGGCCAAGAATTATTCATGTCTTCAAATAATTGTGAATGTCCCAAACAGATGTCTGCATATACACTATAACAATAGTGCCATCTACTGACTGCAAGTGAAAATAGAATGAGATGGTAAACCAGACTTTCTACTTGTATGTATGTCTGGTCTGATAAAACTAATGAAACTGTGTTTAGCAGCCTTTATTAGTATTGATTTTGAATTGGCACTAATGTCCATGTCTGTGCCAAATGGTGGTTAGCTTAGCTTATCATACAGACTGGAAGCAGGGGCTAAAAAAACAAGATTGCAATGTTTAAAATAAGTATATATATTTTTTTTTTATAACTCCGTATACAACGTCATTGTAACTACAACACTCCAGGAAGTCACTGTGTCGCCAGCTGTTTGCCAGGAAATGAACTCCCGATAAAACTGGGAGACCATTTCCGTTTTTACATTTGTGTTTGTGAGCTTTTAACTTTAGATAAAGCTAGGCCATCTGTCTGCCTAGCTATGCTAATCATTCCCTCTAAACTATTTGTGTTTATCTAAACTCTGTGATAACTATTTTATTATAAGAGGTTCAAAAATAGACTCTAAACCACACTAAGCCTTGAAATATACCAGATATAAAGTATATCTTCTTCTTATAGCAACATACAATATGCTAATTAGTGTTATTTTTGGATCAACATAGTTTATGCTAAGCTAAGCTAATTGCCTGTGCTCCAGCTCCATACGTAGAACACAAACTTCTCATCCAACTCTCAGCCAGAAAGTGAACAAATGTCAAACCGTTCCTTTAATATGTGTTTATCTGAACTCCCTCTGTTAACCATTTTATTGTCCATTGTCCATAAACATGCCAACCAGCACCTCTGAAGCTTAGTAATTATAAGTAGGCTAGCTGTTCCCCCCTGCTTCCAGTCTGTTATGTTAAGCTAAGCGAATTGCTTCATCTTAACCCACAAACATTCAGCGTTATCAATCTTTTTATCAGACTTAGCCTAAAAACTAATAAACATATTTTTTAAAGTGTAATTTAAATGTAAATATGTAATGTAATATTAATCTAAACTCCCTGTTAATCAATGTATTGTCCAATGTAGATGTTTTGGCTGATACTGCGCAATGAGTCATTTATTCATTCATTCATTTGTCTCCCTATTCTTCTTCCATCTGCCACAGCTGAAGACAATCTCCGCTTGCCGGCCCTTCAGATTCTCCAGTTGTTCCTCCAGTTGGTTGGAGGCGTCCACAGTGTCCTCAAAGTCCCGCAGCAGGACCCTGTTCCCCAGCAGTCCACGACACTCCTTCAGCCTCAGGTTGTCTCTCTGCAGGCTGTTGCGTGCCTGCTTTGTCCTGCTCAGGAGGTCCCTCTTCTTGGCCACGGTGGCCTCCACCTCGGCGAGCTGCTCTCGCTTGGCCTGGACCTCCATCTGGCTCCAGAACAGCTTCTCCTTAATGTTTGACAGGAGCTGATAAAGCCGAAGAAAACACACAATTATTAACCAAAAATCTGATTTTATGAAGCAGCTACAGCTACTTTAATTTGTGCTTGTACCTGTGGATTCTTCAGCCTACCTCCAAGCTGCTGCTGATCTTTTTCTGCATCTTTAGCGACTCCTCATTTTGCTTTTCAGCCTGTTTTTTAAGCTCCAGCCTCTCAGCCTGCAGGTGCTCAAACTGGAGCTGTAGGGGGTCCCTGTCGTGTTCTTCCCCGTCACGGAGCTCTGCCTCCAGCCTGTGAATCTTGCTCCTCAGCTTGATGTGCTTGAGGCGCAGCTTGATCAGCTCGTCCTGGCGAAGCTGCTCTGCTGCCAGGATTGACTCTACTTTGGCCTGAGCGGCTTGTTTACCCAGGCGTCGGCTTAGAGCTGTCACGGCTACGTCCTGCTTCAGTGCCATGAACGCTCGCCATTCATTTTCCACCTGAGGACGAAGATGAGACAGTTTTTTGCCCGCTGATCAGTACACCATAAGACACACAATCAACACTCACTGGGCACCTGTAGTGGTCCCCTAATTTGGGTGCTGACGTATATATGTTGAATAACAAGATTGTTACATGTGCAGTCATATAAAAATACGTGCAGGGTACTTGCTAAAGGTTTAAATTGCTATTTCTAATAACAGTACACTGGGTTCCTACATGGTTTAAAAATACAGTTGTTTCCAGACTTTTGAGTTGTATAGGCATATTGGTTGTTCCTAAAGCATTTCCCTGTTCACATAGTGCTGAGAGCAGTATCTATGTGGCTCAGTATGCATGTCACATCCACCGAGCTCACTGCAGACCCCTTGTACTCCTTCTCCCTGGAGAGATAGGAGACCACTGAAGCCCCTGAAAACTCAAATCTTAAAGATGCCCTCCAGACATGTAATAAGACATACAAATAGTATTCTTGGATTTTGTCTCTCATATGTTTTTTCTGGAAAAAAAAGGATAATTTCTACATTAAAACCCTGTTTATACCTCATTAACAATTCCAGAATCTATAATTATGTACATTCATACACAAGATGTCTCCTACTTCACTGTAAAGTCCATTCTCAGTGAATGTGCAGTGGTGGCTTCAAGTGTCTACATCACACTCACAAAAAACTGGACCAGGATTAAGGTTGACATCCTTAGTTGTTATTTATTTATTATTACATTTTAACATAAAAAAAAAACTCTCCATCAGGACCGTGCAGGTGTGCTTTGATCAGATTTGATTGATAGTGTTGGATTGTTGCACAGAAATATGTGACCTTCTTCTATCACCTTTTACTAACTGAGCCAAAAATAGAAATGACCAAAACCGTTGGACAGAAAGTTCATATAGGACACCATTTTTGTCCTCTTTTTCCTTTCCTTTGTTAATGTGAACTTAAAAAAAAAGTGTAAAATTGGGTTAAATTGCACACTAAATACCAATATATCTCCTCTTAAAAAAGTCAATTCATTAATGTTAGTCCTAATTTTATTTCTGCTTTATTTATTTTATTACATTTTAACTTGTTTTTATCATATCTTCTCTTTATCATTTTTTTTTAATTTGACACAACTTTCGTGCACTTTCCAACATTTTTAAATGGGAAATTATCAATTTCTTTTAAGCCAATTTTCTTTTTCTTTTTTTTTTTTTTAAACCTGCACAAACATAAAGACCAACCTTGTCCAGCTTCTCTTGGGACTGTAAGCTCAGCTCCTCTGCCTGCTGCTGAGCTGTCTCTGAGTCAGCGGTGAGCTGCTGCTTCAGGTCAGTCAGGAGGCTGATGTGCCTCTCATACTCCTGCAGCTGCTCTGACCCCGGCAGCTCCCTCTCCAGCTCCACATCGTCCCCGGCTTTCTTGCGGAAGTACTCAGCCAGCTTCATCTGCAGCTGGCTGCTGTGTAGGCTGGCTTTATCTCTCTCCTCACACAGCTCCTGCAGGAGCTCCATGTATTCTTCATAGTTGATGTCTTCCTCGTCTGCAGGGGCAGCAGGAGCCGTGGGTTCCTCTTCTTCAGCCTTGTCTTCCTCCTCCTGTGTAGGACTGATGTTCTCCCTCTCCGGGCTCTCGAGGTGCAGTCTGGGAGAACCGTTGTCCTCGTTGCTGTTAACCTCAAAAACAACACTCTCCTGATAGGACATTGTCTGTCCATTGACTTCATTCATGGTCACATCCACGTCTTCACTTGTGGTGACAGCAGGGAGCTCATCCAGACTGTTCTGTTCTGGCTCAGAGGGGGCTGCTTCTTCAACAGGGGCCTCTTCAGGGGCCCTCAAACTTTCACAGTGTTCTTCATCATCACCTGATGCAGCCATTTCAGCTGGGACACCTTCTTGACTATTAACAGTAGTTAGTTCCTCCTCATTGGAGGTTTCTGCTAACACCACCCTGTCTGTGTCATTCTTCACCTCATTCTCTTCATTCTCTGGCTCTCCGTCCATTTTTCAATAAAAAACAAATAAGTATAAGTATTATTCGATGTGTCTACAGCTATAGGGCTTCTGTAGTCAATGAAACTGTTCGTTTTGTTTCGGTTGTCCTGGAAACTGGCTTCGGGAGCCAATCAGAGGCGGCGCTGGCCTTCTCGCTCATTAATATTAACAAGCAGGATGTGAGTAGGTCGCGCGGCGAGCCTCGCGGTGCGCAGGCGCGTAGCTCTGCCTCCAACAACAAGAAGCAGGAGCCAGGCAACATGGCCGACCTGGGGAAGAAGTACTGCGTGAACTGCCTTGCAGATGTTACAAACCTGCGGCTTCGCTGCACCGACTGCCCCGATATCGAGCTGTGCCCGGAGTGCTTCTCGGCGGGCGCAGAAATCGGTAACCACCGGAGATGGCACGGCTACCAGCAGGTCGACGGCGGTCGGTTCTCTCTCTGGGGTCCCGAGGCAGAGGGAGGATGGACCAGCAGGGAAGAGCAGTCGCTACTCGATGCTATCGAGCAATATGGATTTGGAAACTGGGTACTTTTAAGTTACTTAACTTAATGTTTCTCTACAGTACGACCAAGATGGCGACAAGTGTTTTGTTTAAAGTGCTCGTTAAACATGAAGAGTAAAAGTTAGCTGGTAGCGATAATGTTAAGGTAACGATAACGACCTTTATGATAATCCATGTTCCTATCGCACTGTCGTAAAAGTTGGACGAGTTTAAATATGAGTGTTTGTATGTTTTAACTTCTGTAACTCTTGACTCCTAAACAACCCCGCAATTATATATATATATAACACCATATAAAACAATGCTTTTTAACAGAATCTTTATTATATTACAGGCACAAAAAGGAAGACGTTATTATATTTCACATTGAGAGTAGGAGCCAACGTACATACCCTCAGGTTGGGCATAAGAAATACACTTAGGAACATGATCTAATCCATAATCTAAATATATGCAGTGGTAATGATGGTAATATACTGCACAGTCAGTTATAGTAGTAGGTTAGGCAGTTGTAACCTGTTTGTAGAGGAGAACTCTGAATTTGTGATATATATTTTATTTCTATATCTCATTCTTTAGCATTGGACCCGTGGTTCCCAACGTTTTTTTCTTAAAGGAGCCCTTTTCTGTATTTTATGCATATTTCATATTATATTCAATTCATAACACAAACAGTAGAGAACAGCTGATACAATGAGCCCAAACAGTGAACGCAATAACTGCAGGAAGTTTGTGTAAAACCAGTGATTTAACTGATTTCCTGTGATTGTTGCATCAGAGATTTCTCTGATATTTTTATACAATTCTGTCTGTATAATGTGTTTAAAAAATGTCCAACAATCATATATACTTAATAGGCATCCTTTTGACTAATCCAGTGTGTCAGCTCCTTGTTGTTTTAAGCTTTCTGAAGCAGGACGAGGCTGTTGAGCAGAGAGGGAAGGCTCTGTGAATACGGCTTGTGTTCAGGTCTTCACTGTGCCTTTATCCTGTGAGAGTTTTTTATATCATAAAAAATGATCTGAACTTTAAAAATAACTATCATTTAGTTTTCTGCACAGAAATGAATGATACTTGAGATACAGGCCAACTGTATATTTAAAAAAAATGGTTTTCTTACACCTCACAACACCTTACACCTTAAAGTTAAAAAGGGCTCTGGAGTGGGGGTCAGGTACCCCAGATCAAACCTGAGTTCTTGGAAATATACTGTAAAAAAACAACAACTTATAATTTGGCACTTATTATTGGAAATTCCTTAAAGGAATAGCTCAGTCTAAACCCAAGTCAGTATTAATTCATCATTTACTTGAGCTGACTTTACTTTTCCCTATTGTTGTTTTTAAATAAACGACCTGAAAACTGACATGGAAACTATTTGGAACCTTAAAATAAAATGTTCTATATATCCCGATTTCCCAGAGCCTAGGGTGACAGTCCAAAACTCGAAGGTATTCAATTTACAAACGTGTTACAGACAGAACAGCAGAAATTCCTCACATTTGAGAAGCAGGGACCAGAGGCTGTTTTGCATTTTTGCTATAGATTACTTAAATATTGATTACCAACAATCTTCCCAATTTTCTCTGGATCAGCTAATTGATTATTTCAGAACTACTCTGGACTGTAGTCTGCTAAATAACATTATGAGCAGCATGCTGTTGTAATTCTTCCTCTGTGTTCCTTAGTAACAACTTCCTGTGCCTCTTGTCTTCCAGGAGGACATGGCCACTCATGTCGGAGCATCCCGAACTCCTCAGGAAGTCATGGAACACTATGTCACCATGTACATCCATGGAAACCTGGGTAAGGCTTGCATCCCTGACAGCATTCCCAACCGGGTGACCGACCACACCTGCCCAAGTGGGGGTCCCTTGTCGCCCAGTCTCACCACCCCGCTCCCTCCGCTGGACATCAGCCTGGCTGAGCAGCAGCAGCTGGGCTACATGCCGCTACGTGACGACTATGAGATTGAATATGACCAGGACGCAGAGAAGCTCATCAGTGGGCTGTCTGTGAACTACGACGACGAGGACGTGGAAATTGAAATGAAACGTGCCCATGTGGACATGTACGTGCGCAAGCTCAGAGAACGCCAGCGACGTAAGAACATCGCCCGAGACTACAACCTGGTGCCCGCGTTCCTGGGCCGAGACAAGAAAGACAAGGAGAAAGAGAAACCAGGAACGCTGGGAGTCATAGGCACTGCTGGTGGTGTGGGTGGGGCAGGAGCTGGCGGTGGCACAGTCGGAGCAGGTTCCACAACAGCGGCAGGATCAGGTCCTGTTCCAAGCACACCCAAAAGAAAGATCACCAAGGAAGAGAAGGAGCAGCGGGTCCGGCTGCGGGGGCTCTGCCAGTTCATGGCCCATCGGGAGTTTGAGGACTTCTTTGAGAACATGCATAAGGAGCGCGTGCTGAGGGCCAAGGTGCGTGAGCTGCAGCGCTACCGGCGCAATGGCATCACCCGCCTGGAAGAGTCTGCTGAATATGAGGCCGCACGACACAAACGGGAGAAACGCAAGGAGAACAAAAGTGTGGTCACCTCCAAACGGGGCAGCGGAGGAGGGGGCGGGCTCGGCTCTGGGATGGGACTCGGGGGTGGAGCTGGAGGGGGAGGAGGTGTTGCTGGAGGATTGGGGGTTGGTGGTGGGATCAAAGAAGAGGGCAAGGATGGCGAGTTTGCCGCCATTGAGAATCTGACAGGCTTTGAGCTGCTGTCAGACAGGGAGAAGGTGCTGTGTAACTCTCTGAACCTCAGCCCAGCTCGGTACCTGACTGTCAAAACCATCATCATCAAAGATCACCTGCAGAAAAGGCAAGGCATTCCGGCCAAGAGCCGGTTGCCTAGCTACCTGGACAAGGTCCTCAAGAAGCGCATTCTCACCTTCCTCACGGAAAGTGGATGGATATCCCGAGATGCCTCTTAGCAGTCCGTCTTTGGTCAGGAAGTAATGAGCTGATGATCGCTATAAGCTCTGTAGGCGGGAAAAGACTACTGACATTCACCTTTTTTTTTAAGGTGACCTTGTGAATATGTACATTGCAAAGGAAGAAGATGCCCCCACTGGATTTGTATATTTTCATACCTGGGCTAGGAACAAAAATAAGTCTTTATTTTTTACATTTGGAATGGGACGGGGTGAAAAATATTTGCTGGTAACTAGGATGCTAACATTTGCGTAGATGCAGAGATATTTTAGTGTTCTTACAGCAGGCTCATTGAAGATGTCTATGGAGAAATACTATTTAGAATCCAAACAGCTGCAGGGCAAAAGCCATTTCATGCTGAAAAGACAGGGAAATAAGAAAGGGTGAATGTCTGACAGCACGGCACTGAAGGGTGACAGAAATAATCACTGTTGTTATTTTTCAGGCTCTCTCAAACTCAAAAGCTAATTTGGTCAATTTGGTAATTGTTTGGTCAGTTAAAGCTGGACTCTCAATTATCTGTCCTATTTTTCCTTCTTACTGCCTACAAATGAAGGAAAAGAAAAAGCAGGAGGGTTCAACCGTCGTCTAGCTTTCTGTCTGACAGATATAGGTTGACATAGAGCGAGACTGATAAAGCAGCCGGGCCGATGGAATTACTGATGTTAGCTTAGCACTGACATATGTCAGCCAACCAGTAGCAAGTAATGTCAGTACAGAAATGCCAAAGAGTATGCTGAGAGATAAATTAGAAACAGTGTTGCCATTACATAGTCTGTCCACCAAAGGGCGCTGGCAGGTTTTTTTTTGACTGTAGAATGTCTCACCTAGTGGTCACAGTGCTTAAATGATGTTACTGTGTTGGAAAAAAAACTAGCATCAGCTGATATATAACTCTTAAAGCCCCTGAACACTTGGCATAAGATCTTGTGTATTTTATTATAACATTAAAAATCCATGCTAAATAATCCCAAGTTTAAAAAGCATCTTTAGGTATTATTTATTAAGAGTTTAACACTCAAAAACTCAGCTCATCAGTTTCGTCAGGACTGCGTGTGATTTGATGGACAGTTACCAAACAACCCAACAAGCCGCAACCAATCAAAACCAACGAGAAGAGCACAAAGGAAGAAATGTGTGGGAGTATCCATAGTGAGAGAGTACGTTTTCAGGGCCTTTAAATTGACCTCAAAAATCCTGCATGGGTCGGGCTCTAATCTGTATTTATTTACATGTTTAAGTGTGTCAACAGAAATTCGAATGGAGGAGAAACTCTTTTTCTCCACTTTGAATTTGGCCCAAAATGTATTTATTTTTACCGAAGCATCCAGTGCAGCTTTAAATGTTCTGCTGTCCACATACAAGTGAAGAAGCTGAACCTGTGCAGGCATCAACCAATAATACTTAAAAGGCTTCAGTACAATTCCAAAATGATTGTTTTTTGTTTACCAAGTGTGTATGCATGGCGGGCTAATATTACACCTCTTTACCTTCCACACTGAGATGGCAGCGTTTCTCCTCATCGCATGCTTTTGAGTTTGCTAATGCTAGATGTGCAACTAGTAATTCTTTTCATTATCGAAAAATCTGTTGATCACTTTCTACATTAATAGATTAGTTGTTGGGGCCGTAAAATGTCCAGAAATTGTGAAAAATGTTTGTCACTGTTTCCCGAACATAGTCAGTTTACTGTCATAGAGGACTAAAGCCACCAGAGAATATTCATATTTGAGAAGCTGAAATCAAGAGAATTTGGACGTTTTTTTCTTCGTTATTAATCGATTATCAAAATAGTTGGCAGTTTATTTAATATTTGACAACTTGAATCAACTAATTGTTGCAGCTAACACCAAACACCGGCCCACTTCACATGCTTCCCAGATGGTCTGTCAAAGCAGATGTTACCTGCAGCCTATCATTAGTTTTTCAAAGGTACCTTCACTTTGTCTCGAGGGCAGAGCCATTAACAGCAGCACTGGTGACTCATTCTTGTTTTGCTGCTTTTTCTGCGAGCCGAGCTGAGCAGCGGCCATTGTGCTATTTAAATGTAAATGAAGTTATTGAATCGGCTGTCATTTCACAGCAGGCGCTCTAAAATCACAGAGAAGAAAGACATGCGAATGTGTGGATGTTACCTAAGCTGGAATATGTGCTAGATTCATATTCTTTGCCTCTTTCCTGCGTCTGTATCTGAAAAGTTTTGGGGTGAAATGCAGGTAATGAGTGGCATTAGTTGGGAAGTGATAGGCATGCATTAAAAGCGGATCTTTTTTTGTAGTCACCAGAGAGGAATGGGCTCCTCTCTGTTGTAGAACTTGTACATGTGAGATTGTGGATCAACTGTGGAGGGTGTTAAGATTCCGTTATGATCAAAATCAGTCATTCTTACTCACATTTCCTCAATGTGGTGCTCCAAACCATGTCCTATTGTAGTCAAACACTACAGCAGATTTTAGGGGACAGCAGGTTTATTCTATACTTCTCATATTGTCAACAAATCCCATGAATAGACCAAAACCAACAATGAATTGATTCTACCATCAAGTGTTGTTTGGCTCCCCAAAGCCTAATATAAACCCATCAGTGAGTGAGCTAGCGCTCCAAATGTGCATTAATCAGGAGCTGAAAATAGTGTCCAACAAATGCACTGTTTTCTCCTGTTTGTTAAAAACCACAGATAACAAAAAATAAGAAGCTGTTCTACAGAAATGAATGAGCCTTTATGAAAAAGAACATATTCATGACACATTCTTCTAGAAGGCTTACATCCTCCATAGGAACCAGTGGGCTTGGGGCTGAATGCTGCAGAGCGAAGGGGAGTTGGAAACAAGGTGCGAACCTTTCTTTTCATGGGATTTGTTACAATAATAAAAAGATTAACTATTCATCTAAGTGCTTTTCAGCTTGCGTTTTGTTAATCGACTCCAGGCCTGTGGTACATTTAGAGCAGTGGTTCTCAAACTTTTTGCTGTCAAGGACCCCCAAACTGATACACATCAGGCTGCAGACCTGGATTTGATAAGATGTAGTCTCTAGGACCCCCGACTGATAAAATGTTGTTATTCCATAATTGTCTGTAAAACCTATGAACAGAATAA